TCTATTGAATTTATGCAATAGAAGAAAAAAATACATTCTACATTAGATTTTTCTTTAGTACTTTCGAATAAAATTTCCTTAGTGTAAAGCTAACTATGTGAGGCTCATCACTCTTTACTAGTTTAAAGGTTGTGGTGTCTCAACTTTTATCTAAAATATAAAAATATTCTAAATATAGTAGTTTATATCTTAATTCTAAAAATTCTAAAAATATTAAAAAATCTTATTTTTAATGATTATTTTAGTAACTTTTGATACAAATTCTCAATTTTTGGAAGAACCACCTCTTGAAATAGACTTAGTGCAAATTCAGAAGGACAATATTATTCATGCTATGTAAAAAAAAAGTATATTATATCTTACCATTTCTTCTTAGAACCTTTCAAATAATTTTCCAAAATATAAAGCTCAATAATTAGATCTATCAATATCAATCTTTAAAGTATCTTTCCAATGCATAAAGCCCAATAATGAGACCTATCACTATCAATCAATCAAAGACTCTAAAACTGTGACCACTCACATTTTCTCAAAAGTATAAAGACCCCTCATTTCCATTAATGAATTGCCTTAACGCACTGAATTGGTTACCTTCACTTCAGAGGAAAAGCGATATGAAGATAGAAGTCTGATAACTTATTTTTTGATTCAGAGGAAAAGCAATATGAAGATAGAAGTCTGATAACTTATTTTTTGATTCAGAGGAAAAGCAATATGAAGATAGAAGTCTGAAGATATCGATTATCCTGCATGTGCAGCAGTTGCAACAGGAAAGAATCAATACCAAAGTTCATGGTTTTCGAAAGTAGTGCAATAGCCGAAAGATTGAACGAATTAGTGGAAAATCCTACTCAGCTTTTCGAGATGCAATGATGGACAATGGTGAATGGCAACACAGACTCAAATCGATATCTTCAGATTCTTTATCAGAGAGAAGAACGATCGCATGATATTCCTTGGTATGCATAGAGATAAGATAACTACGGACTGCAATGCTTGCTCAGAGTGATCACAGCTCGGTCAGTATCTGAAACAGGAATGATCACATTCGCCAAATTGGGGCGTAGATGCCTCCTTTTGACTTGCACGAATGTGTGGTATAACAGGAATAGTTCCTACTAATCCTCTTGGAAGGAATCACACTCGAAATAGCTCTCGAATATTATTCCTGTAACTGCAGATGCTGACTGAATCACATATTTCATACAAAGTGGTTTGAAGACAGAAGCAGAACTTCATCGCCATTATTTCGCCAAGTGTAGCTAGTCATACTTGTCAATTTCTTGTAAGGAAAGGTTTAACAACTAAAACAGTTCTGAAACTAACAACTCACTTATTCATATTCGAACGTGTCAACTCCTGATATAAAAAAGATTGAAATCAACCAGATCATTATTGATCATATCACGTCTGTCAACACCAACTTGTCACCTCTTCACTAGGGGAACAGCAATTAATACTTGCATTGAATACGCCAAACATCTTGCATCATTCAGAATGATCGGCAGCTCTAACGCTTGGCTGAAAACTCGTAGAGATTTTTCCATCCTCTTTGAACCAGTAGAATGTAAGTGTATAAGTTAATTAGTTAGCTTGGAGCCAACAATTTGATTGCGATGCACCACGTATCTCCATGTCAGTGCTCGTCGACAAGGATCGAGCAATAATCTATTCGAGGAATTGTGGAAAGACAATGAGCGATTTCAGCAAAAAATATCTTTTGCGATTCATCTAATAAAATTTGTTGAAAAAAAGTTTTCAATGATGTGGAATTGATTCCAGCCATGTGGGCTCCTCCTTGCAGGTTTAGGATGGACTTGGGTACAGGTTGTCGCTTCACCTCACTAACCAATGGACACTTGTTGTAACAAAATGCCCCAGAGCAATAACTTACCATGCTAATTCAACAAAGTAAAGCAAGCAGGAGAGAATCATTCAGGCTTTGCACCATACACGTACCAAAAAGCTGCTACGTCAGAGTCCAAATATAAAATGTGGAGCATGAATTCTTACAATTTTTTTCCTATCATGCAGTGGTTGTGGTTTTGGTTCCCAGGCACGCAACATTCATAACTATTCATAGTGACTTCGCACCCTCTTTTTTGACTCTAGATGTGTCCCAGCAGGTGATGTTATTATGTCGGTATAGGACAGGGCTGTAGGGTAGAGAAAATGATAATGTGATGAGAGCCATGTGACTAGGCATCAGATACGAACAGTTTTTTATTCCATTAATGATATTTTCCTACTATTTCTTTATGATTGATGCCTTCTCATGTATAATTAAAAACTACAAATTTGAGAAGTTTTCACATTCCAATTTTTTAAAAATGCAACCGTTGTTTGGATTTTATTTGTTTATTGTAAATCACTGTCTTCTCTTTCTTATTGCTAATATGGTTACAACCACTTATTAAATCAGCAATTTAAAAAGTTATCACACCATATGCTACTAAGATAAATTATACTACCATTAGTTGTAAGTTTTATTTTATTTCATTTTTAACGTGTTTCCTTCTTATTTCTTTTTCCTTAAAAATGTTGCTTGTGAAAAAAATTGTAATATTAATAATTTTTTTTTTTTTTTTTTTTTAAAACTTACCACAATTTTTTTAAAACTTACCACAATTTTTTTAAATCGGTTAAAGTTTATTTTTTTCTCTATTTAAGGATATTTATTTTTTTAAAGATTAATTTTATAATTTTAGATATTTCTAGTGTATGTAAAAAATTCAAAAAATGGTATATATATATATATATATATATATATATATATATTTATTTAGAAACCAATGGTTGTTATTTATTCATCAAATACATTCAAGTCTATTTTTATGATAAAATTTACTTATATAAAATTTAGAATATAAATCCAATTCTACATAAATACCAAATTGTTCCAAGTTCTACCTCTAATCTTGTATAATAACTAAAGATCACAACCACACTTTTTATGCCAAGTAATCTTATAAATTTCTTGTTAATATTATATTTTTATTTTGATTTTATAAGTTTAATTTTTAATTTTTAATTTTTTTTTTTAATATTCCTAAAAAGTTTACTCAAAATCCACTTTAAAAAAGTATCTTCAATATTGATATTAGTCTTACAATTAATTTTTAGATTTTTTTGGTAAGTATGAATTTTTGCTAAAATTTGAAGAAAAGAATCCTTAATAGATTCTTCAAAAAAATCCAAAAAATTAGATTTTCATAAATTTATTTCATCTCAAAAATCAATTATTTATATTAAAACATATCAAAAATATAATATTATACCTATAGATATACATTCAAATTTGCAATTGTTCATTTTTTTTTTTTTATCATAGTTGTAAATATATTTTTTTGTTATCAATTGCCATAATATATACAATTAATTAATAAATAATTAAAATATATAAATATCTTTACATAACAATTATGCTAAGTAGTCATAAAAATCTCAATTATGATATAAGAAGATTTAGAAAAAAATTTGAAAAAAAAATATAGTCATCTATCATATAGAAGAAATAAAGAAAATAAAAAATATTTATATTTAACAAGAAGAAAATAACCAAAATATAAATTTTTGAATATAAAGAAATTAAAATACCTTAAAATAAGATTAGAAAATAAAAATCATTTGTAGGATTAAAAATAGACTTAATATTTTTTCTATCTACTTATGTTCATTTTATTTACTTAAGTAGTATACTCATTTGTTACGTTACTTCACCTTCTATAAACAAATTCTACAAAGACAAATTAAGTTGCTCTATAATTTTATAAAGCCTAAAATTTGTCAAATGGTGTTTTCTACAAATTCTATTGTATACTTTGCAAAAAGATAATTTATTGGTCTTTTGAACCAGTGATAATAAATTAAACTTAACTTAAAACACTATCAAATTATTTGATTATTATTGAGGTCTTTATAATTTCTTAAAATAATATTTTAAAAATACTATTAAGTATAGTAGCTACCTCAATAGTATCACTAAGCACTAAAACTCTCTTCTATGATTGGTGATATAATATACTTAGTATCTTACTATTAATTCTAATATAACAAGATTAATACAATCAAAGTAGTTCTTTTGGAAATTTAATAAATTATATATCTTATAATAATTTTTTAAATATTTTATTCTTATTTTTATAAAGAAATTTAAAAACACTTAAGAATTTTTTCTTTTTTTAATACCATTTTATTATTAATAATTGATCTTTAGTTTAGATGAAAGTTGTAGATAAAAAAAATAAATCACTTCTACTGTATTTGAAGATTTTATAATATGTGTGCTTACTTTTTATCATGTTCATAATATAATATAAGTTATTTCAATTTATTTTAATGATGTGCGAAATCCAAGGCTTCTTTTACTTCAAATCTTAGTTATTTATTAAAATTTAATTGGAAATAGTGGTGATTGCTTCTTTCTTTACATTGTATTACAAGAATTAATAAAAAATATGTAGAAAATATGAAAAAACCTTCATTGCCTCTAATTATATAACTATTATTGTTTATCATATTTAAATTTTAAGAAATTTATGTAGCACACTCATCTTATTAGAATCATAAAAAATTGATAAACTATTAGCTAAAGGATTTTAAACTTTAAAAAACTTTACAAATAATAAATTGGTTGACTTACAACTTCACAAAAGATAAGTAAGATTCATTAAAAAAAAATATAAAATAAAAAATATTTAGAAGTAAAAAATATAGGGTTTTGTGGTTTTTAATTCTATGAACAAAGTTATACATCTTTTTATTATTTTGCATGTTTTGATGCCACACAATGATGACACATGAGTCTATACTTGAATATATTGCTATTGAGTATATTGCATTGAGTCATCACAACAAGCATCATTGAATGTCAAAAGTTCTGAAAAGAATAATAGAAAAGTAACAAGAGATGAAAAGAATATATGATTTGTTATTATTGTTAGACAAAAAAAACAATAGAAATGAGAGCATGTTTATAAATGCAAGATAAAAAAAAAGTTACCTAAAAGAAATGCTAAAAATAAGTAGAGGATATGTACAACCAATGAGCACATTAATTAGTGTGTAAAGACAAGGTTCAAAGAGGTGAGGAGTAAAATCGTAATTCCAAAGAACATTGACAATTACAGAAAGACAAAGAATTAACATCTCAGAGGATTTCCAATCATATATAATATGTTCGGAATCAAAACGTCTTTGTAAGTTGCACTAAACTTGTTATATTACAGTCAACAAAAAAATAAATTCTACAAGGTGTTCTTTTTTCTAAATGAACTAAATGGATGATAATAATTTCTAAAAAAGAAGAGCACCACTGCAATTCTAAGTAAATATGACATAAAATGACAAATGTGTGTTACCAAAAAAAAACCTAGCTCTAATTAGTTCTTTTGCAATCTTTCAATGATGATAATGATAATGATTATATATTTCTTAACAAAAATATTGTCAATACCGATTTTCTTATTAACAAAAGTATTGTCAATACTGATTTTCTTATCAACGAAAATAATTCTTACAGATATCAATATATTTTACATCTTTAACAATAAATTTGGATCGTACACTGGCAATCTGTGTGTATATATATATATATATATATATATTTTAATTTTTTTAATTGCAAATTAAGGACTCTAAAGCACATACTAGTTTAATTTGTTAACTTCCAAGAATAATATTCGTAATTAATTCTTTACAAGTTTTGTAAATTTTGTAATTTTAAAACCTCAAATTGAGGTTTTGAATACTTACAATTCAACCATCAAAAACATGTTTATTTACTCATAATCTAATACCATCAATCATGAATAGGAAAATTACAAAATTAACAAACGTTTGTGCACAAGGGAGATATTCAGGTTTGATAAAAATCCAATGCAATTCACGAGAAAGTAGGCAATGATGGAGTTGAATGGAAAGAGGGAAGCGGATCGGAAGGGCCACGATGCTTTGCAGCGTCCAAGATGTGGTAACTCTTCGTCTCCGCCATAGCATCACTCTTGCTCTTCCCTTAACAATTCTACTCCACGCCTCCTGTGTGCTGATCAATGCAAAGGCAACAATGCAGGCAGCAGATCATGTGAATATCCAGTGGGGCATCGTCGTTGCTCTTCAGGGAGCTGTATTGCACTACTTGTGTTAGTCTGCAAATGGTGCCACTCTCTGGGATGACTGTTTTTGGGCTCAGCTGCTGGGTTTCCTTCGGGTATGGGAGAGGAAGATATGGACAAGTTTTATGATCGAGATGAACAATGTACGAGTATGACACACTTTCCATGTTGAAACTGGGGGTAACTATGCCGATGTGATTCACTTCTAGGGCATTCCCTTCTTGGTGGAAGGTTTGAAGTCATGGCATTACTTGAAAAGATTGAAGAGTTTTCTGAGGTGGGAAGTTGTAAAGTAATCTCTCCGTGCTCGGTTGGTTTCTAGAGGTTAAGTATGATATGAGAGTCTCGTTGAGCATTCGATTGTAGCATGCACAATCGAACTCTAAACAGGGATCTGCCAATTAGTCCAAATCGACGAAGAAATAAGGTTCCTCCCTTTCGATGATTCTGATGCCTTGTAGGAGCAGATGACACAGATGCTGTTAAGCACGGCTGTGGCATGTGCAACGGTGGCAGCCGTGGCGGCAGCCGTCATGGTCTGGCAGAAATTCCACAAGCATAGTCATTGCGATCAGGCGCTCGTCTTACTGTACGAATTTCGACATGCCTGCGCTACCCCTTTGTATGTCTTGCGCCACATCTCGGAGCATGTGGCTCTTGAAATGCAGGCCGGTCTCAATCAGCCTGGAGGCAGTCAGCTCATGATGCTCCCCACTTTCATTGAAAAACTGCCAAATGGGTAAGCATATCGGCACTCCGCTGTTGTACTCATTGATTAGTGATAAAATTTCCACTGTAACGCGCCGGCTAAATTTCTGTTAGCGACGTGTTGATTGTTGCTGCTGGAGTCCAGGTGTGAGAAGGGGCTTTTCTATGCATTGGATTTGAGTGGGACCAATTTTCGCGTGTTGCGATGCCTTTTAGGTGGGCCTAATGCGCGAGTGATAAAACAAGAGTATGAAGTGGTCGCCATTCCGCGTGCACTCTTGCTGGGAACAAGCGAGGTTAATATTCTTGTTTCCCAGCTTTTTCAGCTAAAAATATGTCATCTCGTTAGAGTGGTTTTGGACAGTTGGGTGCGATTCTTCTCGTCCTACGTTGTGTTAAGCCAATTAAGTCTCTACTGGAATTTAGAATGCATGGTGCTTAATCTTATCTACTTCGGGTTATTGAATGTGGTGTTCTGGGTTTCATGGTGGTATAGGAGCTCTTCGACTTCATCGCACAGAGATTGATCTCGTTTATTAAGCTGGAGGGACCGGAGTTTCAGCGGGGACATAACTGGAATGGACATCAAATTCGTGAATTAGGGTTGACAATCTCTTTTCCCATCTGCCAGACCTCACACAACACGGGCATTCTCATCAAGTGGACTGAAGGATTCAAGATTGCCGACGGGGTATGTGTCTAAGTGCTTTTAAGATTGATGCAAGCATTTAGATGCTTGAGTTTTAGGGTCTAAATCATTTGCGTTATGCTTTTTCACCGCCTGCTCTAGATTTTTCTTCAAGATGCCACAGAATTAGAATAATTTAAGGCCCGTGCGATTTTCAACAGGTTGGCAAAGATGTAGTGGCAATGCTCCAAAGTGCAATGGACCGGCAGAAAGGATTTCAGATTAGGGTGGCTGTGTTGGTATGTTGTACACTCGGGGGTACTTTTTGAGGTTCTTGTATTTCTTTATCATCATGTCACTATCAATTGATCACAGCTTGCGAGTTTGAAGTCAGTTTCTTCATGATTCATTTAAAAAAATAATTTGTCATTTTCATGGCACTACCTGTGCAGATTAATGACACAGTTGGAACAATGGCGGGTGGGCACTATTGGAATGATGATGTGATGGTAGGCGTGATTCTAGGGACTAACACCAATGCCTGCTACGTTGAGTGCAACTTGCCCGAGGACATCCAGACGAAGAGCGGCAAGATGGTCAATATTCCTTTCTACACTCTGCCTGTATGCTTCGACCTCTTAGTTCATGTAGTTACACTCGATGTTAATGTGGTTTATAGATTCATTGAAATGTGTCTTTGCCAGTTGCTTGGTCACAATTACCGATCTGAAATACCCGGTGAGTGCAGGTGATCTATATGGAATGGGGTAGGTTTTGGTCATCACACCTCCCACGCACTTACATTGACGAGCAGCTTGACAATGAGAGTGTGAATCCAGGCGATAGAGTAACCATCCTATCATCCTTTGGTTCCCTACCTTTTTTCCCTTCGGTTCCTTTGTGATTGACATACATGAATATGCAACCTATCAATGACATGTCTACCTTATACGAACAAAATTCTTCGCTCCTCCCTCAAGAACTGCCTTGCCTTGGGTTGAAGTGGAGATTGAATACCTGCAGTTATAATTTGTGAATTGTTTCTCCAGGGATTTGAGAAGATGACAGGGGCCATGTACTTAGGTGAGATAGTTCGTCGCGTTCTGGCGAGGATGGCACAGGAAGCAAATTTATTCGGAGACTCCGTACCAACAAAATTAAAACAACCTTTCATTTTGTTGTGCGTCCTTTTCCTCCTAGACTACAGACTGGATTTGATATAACTTTCTTTTAAGTATTTACTGAAGGAAATTTTGTTAAGGCATTTAGAAGTTAAAAAACCTAAAACAAGAATGATGAGTAAGTTGATCCATCTCGATCTCCCTTTCAATTCTATTCCCTCACTAACGACAATAACCAGTTTGGATCACCTATGCTGAGCTTGTCTATTGAATTTGTTCAGAACACTGGAGATGTCCAAAATGCACGCAGATGAGTCACCAGATTTACGAATTGTGGACAAAGTTTTGAAAGATGTCTTTGATGTGAGGATGTGTATGCAGCCCTTAAAAATACAAGATATAATCTGTGATTCATCATATACACTGTGACTTCAATGGTTATCACTTGTATGCTCCTCATAGTTTGAACAATGCTGCAGATCAAACGGACCGAGTTGTCAGAGCGGAGGATTGTGCACAGCGTCTGCGACACAGTGACCATGCGGGCTGCTCGGCTAGCAGCAGCATTCATTGTGGGTATCTTGAAGAAAATCGGGCGGGATGGTTGGGATGCGACAGGTGTTAGTAGCAGACTAATGGCATTACCACGAGACTCGGAGCATAGAGCCAGGCTCGAATTGAAGAGGACCGTCGTTGCTATGGATGGAATTCTATACGAGCATTATCACCGCTTTAGAATCTACATGCAAGCAGCCGTCTATGAGTTGTTAAGTGAAGCCGCTGCCAGGAAACTTGTGATTGAGCTTTCGAAAGATGGGTCAGGTACTGGAGCCAGTATTCTTGCTGCTTGTCATTCAGAGTTTGCTCCCTCTTATTCATGAGTTATGACTGCCGCATCGAAATTAATTGTGTCTTCTTTTTGTGTAAATATCCATCAACGATTGGTACAACCCCTTTGGCAATCAAGTGTTGATTACCCAGGTAGTATTTTGTTCACAACCTCTTTTTGAACTTTAGAATGTGAGCTATCATCGGTCCAGTACAACATGAGCATGGTGCGCAAGGTATTTGCTCTCCATGTAAGACTAGTTATGACTGCCGCATCGGAATGAACTGTGTCCTCTTTTTGTGTAAATATCCATCAATGATTGGTACAACCTCTTGGGCAACCAAGTGTTGAGTATCCAGGTAGTATTTTATTCACAACCTCTTTTCGAACTTTAGAATGTGAGCTATAATCGGCCCAGTACAACATGAGCATGGTATGTAAGGTATTCGCTCTCCTTGTAAGATCAGCAAACCCGAGAACGGCATCGAGATTACTCAACGCTTGCTTGCTTTAGGAGCAGACACTTTTCTATAGTAAAGAAGATAACCGCACAACCTTTCGAATGATGAAAAGAGAACCTGCCAGACAGTACCATTGTCCTGGCATTTTGCCAAGTACTCCTGCAACTTAGAACTCTGATTCTATCTAGTGCTAGGGACACGTCCGACAATGAGTTGTGTATCTCAGCTGGTAGCTCTAGTTTCTCGTATTTTTTTATCCTGCTACATGATCACAACAATATCCCGAACTGATACCTTTTCATTCAAGCTGTTTATTCATACAAATATCGGACTGGAACAACAGTTACAAAAAACAGCACCCAGATCAGTAAGCCTGTCTTAGTTATAATCTAGGCTAGACAAAATTTTAATTTATTCTAAGAATACAAAGAGGCATGAACTTTATGTTTGTTATGTGTCATAAAAACTTAAAGATGTATGACTATATGCAAAGATAGAAAAATATGTATTTTACACAATTCAAGTTCACTTCTTATAATACATTATTTCAAATGATGGTCTTACAATGAATCTTATAGATAAGAAAGTTTTAAAACCAATAAGAAATATGAATTTATTCTTTGAGATTTGTCAATTATTATCAAATCTTTATTAAGATTTTTTTTGAAGTAATAGTTCTACTTACATGTTTGATTTGTAAAAATAAAATTGAATGGAATAAAGAAGTAAAAATATTAATTAAAGCTTTAAATCCATTTTTTATTATTGTAATAAATTTGTATTGTATCAACTTTTTTAATGCATTTTTTATAAAAAAAAATGCATCAAACTTTGCATTGGATATAATATTCTCACAAATAGGAGCAGATCACTAATTTTAGCTTATAACTTTTGTTTCAAGATTTTTTTTTAACAATTGATATTAACTATAAGATTCAATATATATATTTTTTTAGAATTATGGATTTATTTTCTAAATATTGCCATTATTTAAAAAATACTTCAAGTCTAGTGATTTTTTATAAAGATTACAAGAATCTCAAGTATTTTATGTCAATACTTATTCTAAATCATTGCCAAACCCGTTCAAGCATGTTTTTATCAAGATTTAAATTCAAGATCATATAACAACTAAGGAAATAACAAAAGTTGTCTAAGGTCCTTTCTAGATAATCTTATCTTGCACCAATAGAAAGAGATGTAACTTTTAATGAAAAAAAAACTATTCTATTGAAGCTAAAATAATTTCATCTTTAAGAAATAAATTGACATTGATGCACCCTTTGACTTGTTGTGCCTATATGGCAACCTATTGATTTAATCTTTTTTAAGCAGGTTCAATCTAATATATTCTTAGATTTATTTTTATTTTTATTTTATTAATTTTTTTTAAAGTAATATTATACTTCTAAGCTAAAATTCAATCATAAGTTACTCTATTTCAAATAATGCTTATATATTCCAAAAAATAAAGCATAATTACATATTCTTAATATTCATCACGATTTCTTAGTTGCAAGATATTTTAAACACAACAAAACCTTAGAACTAATATCAAGAGATTTTTGGTGGCTTCACATATAAAAAAATTTTAAAATATTTTTATAATCATGTGATATTTGTTCAAGATTGAAAATTCTTTGTTATTAATCTTTTGGACTTTTTTAATCATTACATATACCAAAACAACTATGGTCTTTTGTTTTCATGGATCTGATCACAAAACTTTTAATTTTAAGTTCTTTTGACTCTATATTTATAATAGTAGATTTTTTCACTAATATGGCATATTTTTTATTATATATAAAAACTATCATGAGTAAAAAAAAAAAAAAAAAAAAAAAAAAGCTGATTTTGTTCTTTGCAATAATTATTCATGTCATAGATTACCAAGGAATATTATATTGTATAAAAGGATTCAATTTGTATTAAAGTTTCTTTTTATTTTTATTTTTAAATATTGATAGTAGTCATAAAAATATCTTCAGTTTTCCATCTTCAAATTATTGGACAAACAAAATTGATGAATCAAGTTTTGGAGCAATATTTAAGAAAAGCCACCAATTAAAATTAAGATAATTAGATTTTTTTATAGGCTAATATTGCCTATAATAATATAGTACATTTTTCTACTTAACATATATATTTTTTTGCTAATTATGGATATTATTTACAACTTGATACTTTAAATTTTTTAAAAATTCATCTTAGAATAGAAGATTTAAAAAATTATTTGTTAAAGCTACATGCAACAATGAAGGCACAATTAAAAGAAGTTCAAAAATAACAAAAGATCAACATAGATGCCTATTGTAAGAAACAATATCAATTCCATATTTTTAACAAGATGTATAATCTTTTATTTTTAAATTTTTATAGTATGAATCAAATATATTATTTATATTTTTAAGTATTTTTATAATAAATAAAGATATTTTTTAAATAACATATAAAAATATTATTTGGATATTTTAAAAATATATTATTCATTAAATATATAGATTTATAAGAAGTCATTTTTTTCTTCATAAAGAAGATTGGAGCACTTATAAGACATCTTAAATGTTAAATAAAATTCTTTGTAAGATTTTCATTAAAATATTCTTTTAAAACAATAAGTTCATTTTGCAACAAGATGAAATTGTTCCAAATGGTAGTTGAGCTCTTTCTTAAAGTTCAATTATAAAATTACAAGATTAGTCTATTGGCAATACATCAACATTATTTTTTTCAAAAACATCTTGATATTCTTTATACTTTTCTGAAATTATATTGCAACTCTTATTTTAATGAAGACTTGATGCAAAAAAAATAACAAATGTGTTTCTATCTTTTACAACTCACATAAATGATTTAGCTCTTACAAATAAAAGTTAACATGGTTTGTTTTCATTAGAACTAGATCATAAAGTGACCTTTTATAATTTCCAATCAATATTAGGATTATGTACTTTAAACCAAAAGAGGTCAAGTATCACTAGATTAAAAGGACTTCAAATGGAGTTGAAAATAATATTAGATACTTGATCTACTAATGCCACTTTCAATAGTTTGATTTTTTTTCTATGATGTCTATAGATGCAAGTCATTATCCATTAATAACTTTTATTAGAGTTAAACAAATCTTCTTTAAAAGTATCAATTTCTATTGTAATACAAAGTCTTTATTTATAAAACATGTTAAAATTCTAAAATCTAAAAGTGCTTGAGCTAGATTTTTTAATTTAAAATTATAATAATTATTAGAAGTTTTAATAAGATATAAGATTTGGTGGTAGTATGAGACTTATATTTGATGGTCTAAAATTATCTGATTAAATATCTATTTTATATTTACATGTTGAAATAGGACTAGAGTATCTCAAAAATCTAAGATCCTTCCAATCCACAATAATATAAGCCCTCCTCACAAAATAGGACAAAACAGATCAGAATAAAACTAAACAAAACTAAAAAGAATAAGACATGAAAGACAAAACTAAGTAAAAAGAAACAAAGCATAATAGATATGAACAAAAACATGCAAAACCAAACTTTACTAAGAGAAAAGATCCAAAGCCATACCTGACTAGATGTCCCAAAAAGCACTGGCCAGTCCTATTTATACCTTATCCTACCACCCTAGACTTTCTAAAATGTTCCTATGTGGTAAGTTCCACCTATATAATTACCTTAAATTCTTTCTTTAGAAGATTCTATGGTAGGCCCTACCTAAATAACCATCCTAAATCTTTTCTAAAATATTCTACAGTGGATCCTACTAGTCCATTAACTTAATTTCAATTCTAGAAACTTCCATGGTTCTAATTATCTATATAATTATCTTATTTATACCATGTTACAATTAATCCTCCTTCACTAATGCGGAAAGTCCTTATTTTGCTTCTGATGGTATCTTCGAATTATCTTTTGGCAATGGATGAGGTTTTATGCAAGTTCTCACATTACATTGTAAATAGAATAACCTTTCCAAAGAACTTTGTACTGAAGTTGTGGACATTCACTACCGTGACAAAAGTAACAATGCTTCAAAGCGTTGTCTACTTCATATTTTTATTGGTCATCAACTACAACTGGTGGTGGTGGTAGTTGGTGTTAATCCAAAAAGCGCTTTGACTTGATATGAAATTCTTTCAGTTACAAAACATGGAAGATTAGATGGACCTAAATATGTGGCAAAAGCTCGAGGCAGTATGTGACATCAGATATCATTGTAGAAATGTGAAAAGATACAAGCCACCGAAGTACTAGTTTACAAATTTGGATTGATGTAGCAAGTGGCAAGTTGGCGTTGGAGAGTAACACCTAATGACCCTTCCAAAAGTTCTTGTGTTGCCAATGATTATCCACATATTACTTCTGTCGATTCTATATAGTAAGAAGGTAATGTCATACCTCTTTTAAGGCTATTATAAGTCATTGTATAAATTCTTCTATTATCGAGTTGTTGATATCGATAGAATGATAGAGAGTTGGTGGCATAATCGGATGCTAATCAATATTAAGAAAAAATAGTGAATGATAGGTACTTGCTTGAATACTATCATTATAAGCAAACTCTAAAAGTGTTAAGTATTTACCTCAATTAATATGATGAACCACAATGAATACTAACAACATATCTTTCAAGGTCCGATTTGCATACTCTATTTGTCCATCTGTATGAAGATGAAAGATTGTAGACATAACAAGTCATGTATCTAGTATCTTGAATAAGGCTTGTTAAAAACTTCACATGAAGCATGGATCCCCATCTGAAATGATGACACAAGGTAATCTATGGTGACAAAAGACAGTATCAAAGAAGAGTCGTGCAAGCATTGGGGCATCAATATCCAAGCGCACCATGGCTAAGTGAAGTTGCTTCAAGAATCGATCTACAAAGACAGTAAC